ACCGCTTGGTACAGACTCATCACTAATATATGCCAATTGTATGTATTATTTAGTAGCTTTCCATATTTCCTGTTTCTTTTACTTCATTCCCTTTTGTTCATGGGTGCCCAACTTACTGTATCTGATGCTTGGCCTCAGGGCCTTGGGGTCTGTGAAAGTGGTAGAGGTGTTTGTGAATAGCATTGTTTTACTCCCTATAAAAAGAATATCAAGCTATCTAGCCACCGAGTGCCTGTCTGTAATCTGTGCTCACGGCTTTTCTCTGCTGTCCAGGCTCCACCATGCACAGCCACCACCTCCCATCCCTCCCTCCAATAGCAGGAGAATTTTCTATCACCAAGGATATAGCCATGTAGCCCTTACAGAACCTCCAGCCCCAGCCCCAGCCCCAGCCCAGCCCTGCCCTGAAGAGAATGCAGGCTTGTTGGTCAGAGGGAATACACACACACACACACACACACACACACACACACACACACACACACACACACACACACACACACACACACACACACTCTGTATGGAGGAACAAAGTAAACAAGTACCCTCATCATTTTGATTCACAATGGGACAGATTCCCACTGTATCAGTGACCCGAAATTAAAGGAGCCTGATGCAGGTGTTGGTAGCAGAATACCAAGTGTTGCTCATGTGGAAGATGTCACATGAGCTTATGCTCCCAAGTCTTTGTGCCTAGGAGTCTGAAGGACAAGAAGCACTCACTCCGTGGAGCATTGTGCACAGGGTCTAATTCTTACCGAATGTTCACCTGGGTATAGGAACTCACCCTTAGCCAGAGCCTGGCAACCCTTTAATGAATGAAGAATCATTAAATGTGAACTTAGGAGCAATGTCTGGCCTCTCCAAAGGGAACATTCCTTGGACAGCTGGGATTCAAACTGTAGTATAGAAAACAATAACCCCCACTCCCACCCTCCAACCCAACACCTACAGGAAGAAGGAAACAACACTGGGAAAGGTGACAGAAGGTGAGCAGAGAGGTTGGAAAACAGAATTTCATATCCTGGAATCTTAGGGAGAGTTTGGACACAGCAGTGGCAGCACCCAATGCCACAACTCACTTGATAGTCACGTGTAAATCTGTGGAAAGCAGATTAAAAAAAACAGACAGAGTTTCATAATATTTATTGATAGGGAGAAGGTATAAGGGTAGCATCCGAGGGGCAAAGTGCTGATGGACAAAGTGCTTTTCCACCAGACTGGATTTACACAGCTTTAGAACTCGGTAGGACGTGAGCTAACTGGGCATCACTGGAGACTGACGAGAGGAAAGGCAAGCATCGAGCCCCAGCCTGACCTTCAGGAACCAGATTACCTGAGGATTTGACCTGAGATGTGCAGGAGCTGGAAATTAACTAGAATTCAGGAAACCAAGAAAAGGTTGATTTCCTGAAAAAAAAAAAATCACCCACCACCACCACAACAAAAAAAAACCTTCAAGGTTCTTACAATCTTTGTTTTACCTTACATAGATTTAAGAGTTATTTCACAATTGACTTTCATTTAAGCTGAAAAAGTGAATGTAGACTACCATTAAGTCATCTTTGAAAAGTGTAAGTAGACCAAGCGCTGGGGATTTATGCCTATAATCCTAGCTACTCAGGAGGTTGAGATCTGAGGTTCGAAGCCAGCCTGAGCAGACAAATCCAAGACACATTTATCTCCAAGGCAAAAGTAGAGCTGTGGTTCAAGTGGTCGAGTACCAGCCTTGGGCAAAAACAAAACCAAGCAAGAGTGTGAGGTCCCAAGTTCAAGCTCCAGTACCAGCACACACTCACAAAGTTGTCACCAATGAGCCACCAAACATTTAAACGGGGCACTCAGCTTATTCAAGCACAGTTCACATGACCCTATGGTTAACTCATGAAACCCTCTCTATGTAGCTTGAGGAATGCTGTCTTAGAAGAATAAGATGAGTCTTGGCTTGAAGCTACAGGACCCGTTCCTTTTCAGTGGGATCTGAGATGGACCAAAGAACCATCTGCAGGATGAACAGAAGCACTGAGCTCTTGTTCTACAAGAGTCCTGCTCCTGGTGTGATTCCATCCAAGAACGGTAGCTTTTCCCTCCCATGGGGGAATGATGTGACTCACTCATTGCCAAAGTCTGGGGCACAGTGTGGATACAAATTCTCATTCTGTTCCAAGAAAAGACTAGTAGTCTGAAGAAAGTTTCAAGATGCTCCTCCATGCAATCTGTGAGGAATAAGGCACCGAGCCTCCGTTGTGTCTAAATTCATCATTTTCCCATGATTCTTGTAGTTCTCAGAGGTGTTTCCACAGAACAATGATGATACCGTCCTCCTGGTTTGATCCGAGGCTCCTTCAATGGCACAAGAGTTCTGAGAGCCTGCATACCCTACCTGGGAAGCCCAAAATGTGATGGATGTGGTTTGTTGAGTGACTGGGAACCATTCTAACTGTAGGAGCAAGAGCCTTGGCAGAAATGCCACAGCAGAATGCTACATGGAGCTTCTTCAGTTCACGGAGGCTTGGCTAGCCTGAGACATCCCTATAAATTCAAATGATCAGAAGTGGCCACAGGACACAGGTGTGGAGGGACTGCAACTGACATTGGGAAGAAAGCTAGGTAGGTGAGTGCTTCATAAGAACTGCCAGCTTTCTTTGACTCAGCGCTGTTTGCAAGTTTGGCTTTGTGAGAAGCAGCTTCAAATCTAGAGTGGAGGTTCCAGAGAAGGCTTCCTTGGTCTAGATCATTTGCAATGAAACATAGGTCCACCTTCCCCAATACATAATAGAATAGTGTGCCTCGGATGGGCTGGGGGGAACTTGAATTATACTGAGGAGGGGAAGTGGAAGGAACTTCTACATTTCCCTGGAATTACCCACACATCCACTGGAAAAACCAATGGAATGGAAAAGAACTCTCACTCCATATCAATACAGCCTCATCACTAACCCATTCAGTTTTCCAATACATTGAGAACTCTTAGATTGTGGTAACTCCTGAAACAAAGAAACCGATTATATATTATCTTAAAAATTCATGGGCATTGCCAGTAATTAGGATGCAATAACTTAAATGGAAAAAAAAAAGATTTTTAGAACCTTTGGTGGGTTTTATTAGTAGTACTAATTTTTCAGTTCTGGCTTTGGGTATTCTGTGTATATCTTCAGTGTTGCAAGAGGCTTTCTATTATAAATCTCATATTGTTTGTTTTGAGTTGGGTTGGGTTGGGTTGGGCTGCCCCTTGACAATTGGTCCTTGGTAAAACTATGGGTCAATTATATAGATTTCCATATTAACACTTAAAACATCAAACTCAGTAATCCACCAAGAGAGTTTGAACCATGAACCAGAAGACAACAGCACAGCCAACAGCCTGCCCAATGCACATTCTTGACCAGCCCACACTGTTTATAGAATTCTATCAGCAGAAAAAGATCTAAACCAACATGAGACATTTTTGTTACAATTCCCTTTTAGCAACAGTGTTCCAATGAACTGACCCTGCTATGCCATATGATCTAATTTTTTTCATGTACCTATGAACACAACATGCAAGAAAGAAAAGTGACTAAAAATCAATGAGGCTGGCATGGGAGGAAATTGCTGATGATGGAGGTTGTTGTAAGACTTTCAGTGTGAGCCACAGATCGGGACCCCCACAGCCAGCACTTGGAGGGGGTTTCCCTCCACAGCTGTTATTTGTGCTCTAGTCATTTCTGGTGATCAGGGGACACCAAGCGACCAGCAATGACTGGAATGGAGGTGGGAAGGAGCAAGGCACAGCTATGGAGCACAACCCAGTGAAAGAAGAAGTGAAGTTCTGCACAAATAACAACTCCGTTATAAACTGCTTGAAAAAAATAATCACAGAAGACTCACCGAGAGGAATGAGGGTAATTGTTGGACATTGACCAAATGTTTATTTGGAATGACACAGCACTGAAACGTAATCTTTACAGATGATTCATGAATACAGTGTACATCACTTATTTTCTTTTAGGATGTTCTATGGAGGTGAGTTTGCATAAATAGAAAGAGGTGGAAATAATATAGGAGCTTTTCTTTTTAAATAAGTTCTTTTTTTGTAGGGGGAGGGGTAGATTCATATGCCCCATCTTCTAGCCCATCTCATAAAGGCAGAAGCGAAGACCACATAGCTGCTGGTTCAAGGCTAAACTTCCTTCCACCCCAGCAGATGGACAAGCTGCCTAACCAGGCTTTGCTCTGTCCAAAGGGGCAGCAGCTTGAAGCTGCCATCATCTTGGAAACTGCACACAACAAACACAGATACTGTCGACTGTTTTGGCAATGAGATGGCTGGTTTTGCCCTCAGGCAAAACCGCAACTGTAATGCCAGACAGAGTAAGAGCAACGCAAGTCTCAATGACACTTGAGAGGCAGAAAGCTACAATGGAAGGGGAAGGAAGGAAGGAAGCACCTATGTATATTTGTCTTGTGCATACACATAGGTGTAATGTCACAGGGATTAGCTTGTGTGATTGTGTGTCCATATCTATGTATAGAGAAGCAAGTTGGAAAAGACCATTGAAAACGTTTTCAGCAGTATAATCTGAGACGCAGTAAACCTGAAAAGGAGAGGGGGGGATAGGGAAAGACAGAGAGAGGGGAGATAGAGAGGAGAGGGAGGAGAGGAGGGAGGGAGGGAGGAAGGGAGAGAGAGAGTGCGCAAGAGCCCACGTGCTCACACCTGGGCAGGGGTAAGATAACCTTGTACTACAGAACACTTCAACACATCTTCTGGGGTGGCCACTGTGTACCACACTGTCGGTGCAGGGGAATGAAGGGTTGGGCTGGAGAAAACTACTGGAGACCTGACTGGAAAGGGGATCAAGTACAAGTACCCACAGCTCAGACAATCACAGACTTGCTATTGACCACATGGGAACAAAGTGAAGACTTTTGCCTTAATTTGCTTTTTTGTTTCCTCCCCTCTTATATATATATATTTTTTTCCCACACATGCTCTGAGGATAGGTCTTCTCAAGCTTTGTCTGGCATCACTGTGGAAGTTATTCCGCATGTGATAGCAAAAGTGAACTCATCAGGATTTCATGGAAGGTTCCAAACCCAGTCACGAAGCTCCTTCTATAGTACCTGCAGCCCTACTCCAGGCGCCGGGTGAAGTTTTCGGGAAAGAGACCTTTGTAAGTGGCCAGGTCTCTGTACTGAAGCCAATCCGACTCCTTCACCCCCACGAGCCAGCCTGCATCCTGCAAGACAGCAACACATGTACACAGCACAAGAAAGGATTGAACGCACCCACATTGCCAAAGTATAATTGGGCAGGAAGGCCTGTCCCAACTAATTTAGTCAAAAAAAATTAAACTATAGCCATTTGCAACAATTCATTTACTCTATGAAGTATAGCTCCTTGAAGATTATCTTTCTAGTGTGGAAAGCATAATGGATGATTAATGGGATTACAAGTTCTTTTTTATTTAGTTGTAAATTTAGTTCTTATTAAACATTTAAATAGTTGTGTATTAAATGTTCTATTTAAGTATGTTAATTAAATATTTACTTAAATAGTTGTTCAAGGGAGATTCATTTCAACTTATCAGTTTATGCATACAATGTTTTTTCTTGTTTTTAATTATTAAAAATCTTTAAGTAGTATATACCAAAGAGTGTCAGTTGAACATGTCAGTTATGAGTACAAGGCCTCTTGATCAGTGTCAGCCCTTCCATCCTTCTTACCCATCTCTCCCACCTTACCCATCTCCTCAAGTTTCCTAGCTCCATTTCATCTATGTTCATTACGTAATACTAGTTCTTAAATAAAAGGGATTCTAGGTGAAACCATGGCAAGCAAAACATAGCCTGTCATCTTGTGGGTCACAGCAAAATAAGGTTCAGGGGTCTAAGGTTAGAATACAGTGCTGAGGCAGCTCCGGAAAGTCTTGCTTATGGCCTCATGGGTCACATTTAAGCTCAGGAAACCACCTTCCTGCTCTTATCAAGTATTAAGAACTATCTTTGTGCTTGATGAAATTGCTGTGATTTCTCTTATTAATAACTGATCCTTCCATTTTGTTTTCTTTTTAGCAACAATAGGGGTTTCAACTCAGAGACTCACATTCACTTAGGTAGACATTCTAACACTTTAACCAGGCTTTTGGCCTTGGTTTTTGCCCATTTTGAGATAGGATCTCATTTCCCACTCAGGCACAAGATTGAACCTTTATCGACCTACTTTAGATTTCCCTTTGCTGCTGGGATTACAGGTGCGTGCAATGACTGTGTGAGCTTCTTTCTGTGGAGACCAAGTCTCATTCACTTTTATGCCCAGGATGGTCTGGATACTTGATCTTCCCAATCTCAGGCTCCCTCGTAGCTCTGAATGACAAGCAAGTACCATTCTTCCTAGCTATGGGGGTAAGAAGGGGTCTTGCAAACTTTTCTTCCCAGCTTGGTTTCGAACTGTGATCCTCCTGTTCTTAGACTCCCATATGGCATGAGCTACCAGCACCTGGCTCCTGATTTTTCAAGTAAACTATCAAGTGGTTTAAAGATGTGGCATTTTTGTTAGAGACATTTGTATGTTCTTTATAAATTAGTATTTGTGTCATACAGGAGTGCCATCACACACACAAAACATGACATAAGCCACAGAAAGGTTGAAGAACACATTCATGGATGGCCGAACAGGAGATCATACATAAAACTGAGAAGCAGAGGGCTGGGATGTAGCTCAGTGGCAAAGTGCTTGCCTAGCAAGTGCAACGTCCTGGATTTGATCCCCAGTACCAAAAAAGAAATGACAAAATAAATACAGTTAAAAAAAAAAACAAACAAAAAAATCCTGAGAAACAGAGACTTCTGTCTGTTCTTATACTGTGGAAGAAAACCAGCATCAAGCTGGAAATGGCTGAGTTGGAAGACATATTTGGATTCATGGGGAATGAACAAAGTCAAACCTGTGGGAAATGACTGACTTTTTATATTACCCAGTACAGGAGAAAGACCCCACTTTGAATGAAGGATGGTCATATTTCATCTGAACCAATGTTCAATACAGTTCAATTACATCAGATAAATGGGGTCTCAAAAATTAAATAAAGAGCTGTACAGTCCCCTTAGATAGAATCCGAAACCATAAATTGCCTTTGCCATATAAAAAAGAAATATAAGAGGTAGATAGATCAATTTTTTAAAGAGGAGAAAAAAGCAATGAGAGAAAATGACCCAATAAGATGACTGATGGTATCTTCTTAGATAAGGGAAAAAAAAAACCAACCTGTACAACTGCAAGGTCACATGCATGAAGAATAAATTTATACTTACAATAAAAGATGATCACTAAATGCTTTGTGAACCTGTTGTATGTATATAAAAAGTCATTTCTTCCCCTAATAAGTGTCTATATTTGATTTCATTTACAGGAAGTTAAAAAAAATGTAGTGAGTCTAAGGAGAGTCAAACATTTTTAAATTGTTTCAATATAGACAAACAAGAACTTGCACAAACCCATAATCAAGATCTACTCCAACATGTGTACCCTGAAATATCACATAAGTCATATAGCAGAAAATGTTAGCCAGTATAAATATTGAGTTGAGTAGAATTAAATTTTAACAGCTTAAAATGCATAACAGACAAAGATGTCCAGTTTAGCTTATATCAGACAAATGTGTCTATGCAGAATAATTAGAAATACTAAAATAACTATATATGTCCACATACATAGATTTGCATATATGAATTTATATATAGCCAACTATTTGTTATAAAATCTGCAATATAAGATGCAAGCTTATGTATGAGGTAGGGACAAACCAGAGTCACAACTATTTGAAGGCACCAAGAAGGATTACAAGCAGGCTGAGATTGGGGATTATTTGACGCTTGCATGTAGGGAACGCTAACGTGTTTTTCCTCAATCATGTTCTCAGTCCATGTGATAGAGGGCATTCCGTGGACAGAGCCTAGGGGAGCCTAGAGCAGCTCTGCACTGATAGCAGGATATCTCAAAAAGAAGGAACTTCCAGGGGCAGCCCCAACTATGCAGAGAAACTTCCCTGGGTACCTGTTCTGAACTCTGACTTTGCACCTAGATCCTAGTGGAATATCAATAGTAGGATGCCTTACAAAGTTTAATAAAGATATAAGCACTGCCAGTGGAGTTGGGCCAGGTTTAGAGTTTGAATCTTACTAAGTACTACAGGTGCTTTCTACCGCAATTCCTTCTTGCTTTAGAGGTGAAGACAATGGCCCAGAAATAAAAATTTATGCAAAGATCAAAGGCACCGGTTGGAGCAAAATATAAAACAAACATCTACAAATTTAAAGTAACTATCCTGTAATGTAAATGTCTGTTAGTATAAAAAGTAAACAATCTTCAAGACAGGTGCCTGTGGTACATGCTTGTAATCCTAGCTACTCAAGAGGTTGAGATCTGAGGATCTTGGTTCAAAGCCAGCCCAGGCAGGAAAGTCAGTGAGATTCTTATCTCCAATAAACCACTAGAAAACCGGAAGTGGTGCTGTGGCTCAAATAGTAGAGCACTTGCCTTGAGCTGAAGAGCTGAGGGACAGTGCCCAAGCCCAGAGTTCAAGCCCCATGACTGACTAAAAAAATAAAAAAAAAAAAAGTAAACAATCTTCATACGTAGGAAAGAGAGCCAGGCCTGGGAAGGTGGCTCAGTGGTAGAGTGATTGCCTTGCATGCATGAGGCCCTGGATTCAATTCCTCAGTACCACATAAGCAGAAAAAGTTGGAAGTGGAGCTGTGGCCCAAGTGGTAGAGTGCTAACCTTGAGCTGAAGAGTTGAGGGACAGCGCCCAGGCCCAGAGTTCAGGCCTCATGACCAACAAAAAGAAAAAAGAAAAGAAAGGAGAGCCCAGACTCTATAGTGTATTGTCTACCAGCTATGTCCAGCATCAATAGAAATACTACTTAGCCATGGGTGAAAAACAAGAAAATACAATTCCAGAGATAAAAGGCAACAAATAGAACTATGTCCTATAATGTTCTACCTTTTAGAAGTATCAGTAAGAAATGTACAGAAACTGAGATAAATATGTTCAAGAACATACTCTGGGAGATAGTAATACTGAGAAAATAGATGAGAAATGTCAGCAAAGATAAAGAAACTATATAAAATAACAAAAAGGAAATTATAGTATTGTTTAAATATTGTATGAGTGGCCTGGGATGGCTTCCACAAACAATCTTCCTGTCCTCAGGCTCCCAAGTATCGAGAATTACAACAAACTAGAAATAGCAGATAAGAGAGTCATGGTTTAAGAAGACAGATCAACAGAAATTTTCCAGGCTGACTTCAATAGTAACATTAATGTTGATTGATAAAGGACAGAATCTTAGGCATTAAGAGATCTATGTAATATACTGGAAAATCCACAAAGCGAAAAGGTAGAACATAATGTGGAAAAGAATGGAGTAGGAGCTAAAAGATTTCCAAATGGAATAAAGTGAAAACTGCATGTGAAAAGTACAGTGAACATTGCATATGAAATCATGCAAAATAATTTTTAAAAGCCAAACACATTTTACTCAAATTAATTAATTTACAACCATAAATACAGAAGTATTCTCTGTATTAAAAAGTTAACATGGTATAGGGAGAAATATTATTAAACAAATGACAGCTGACTTCCAATTATAAACAGAAAAGACCAGAAAACAATGGAAAAACCTCTTGACGAGATGACAGAAATAAAGGCAACCTAGAATTCTTTACATATAAAAAAAAACTTTAAAAAGTGTATATAAATGAAGAGATTTTCACACAGACTGAAACGGAGGGGATCTGTTGCCAACTGTTCTGTATTATAGTAAGTGCTAAAAAAATTTTGAACAGGAATTTTAAGCACAGATTCACATATTTGTAGAAAGCAATGACACTGGAAATAGTAAATATAAAAGGGTACTTTTTTTCTTTTCTTCCTAAAGGTAATTTTTGATTCATACAACTATAGAAACATACAATGGATTTTTAATGTTTTTTGAGATATGTAGAGATAGCAATGTTTTTGCCTATCTTAGTAATTTATGCCTTATTGCTCTTAAAAAAAAAATCTAGGGGATGGAAAGGTGGCTTAGTGGTAGAGTGCTTGCCTTGCATGCATGAGGCCCTGGGTTCGATTCCTCAGCACCACATAAGCAGAAAAGGCTGGAAATGGCGGTGTGGCTCAAGTGGTAGAGCACTAGCCTTGAGCTAAAGAGCTGAGGGACAGTGCCCATGTCCCATGACCGACAAAAAAAAAAATCTAAGATTTTAATGATAATAATTTTATTAAACCTTACAAGGAACCAAGTTTTTGTCTATATTGACTTTCTAAATTGTGTTTATGACTGTATTAATTTTTGTCCAGGAGAATTTAATCATTTATTGATCACACATAGGCTTCATTTTATCTGGTAGCATTCATTATTCCACTCATGATACAGCACAGAACGTGAAATTATTTTTTATTATTTCCTCCTTTCTAGGCACTTTCTATTTAATTAATTTTAATTAATTTTCTATATTCTTATTTAAGTTAATGATCATTATGAAACTTTTCACAAATGGATTGCTTTCTAAGTGTATTAAGTATTTAGTGCTTGTAAAGATATTTTTGTTGATTTCTAATCAGATTTTATAGTGATAATGACTATTTGGTTGTTTAAGCTGCACTTGCAGTATGTTTATACTTGTTATTTTTAAAAGAAAGAACAAAATGTTGGGCATGGAAGTTGAAAGTTGTGATGCTTAAATCATAAATCTCTTTTAAAATAATATGGAAATTACAGCTCTTCTTTCCAGAAAAAAAATGCTCATAGACTCATTTATTCACGTTTTATATCATTTTAAAAGTTTACAAATCAAGAACAGGGGCCGAAGGCTTATGCCTACAATCCTAGCTACTCAGCAGGCTAAGGTCTGAGGACTGGGCAGCAAAGTCCATGAGACTCTTATCTCCATTTAGCTACCAAAAAAGCCAGAAGTGGAACTATGGCACAAGTCATAAGTGGAACTATGGCACAAGTCATAAGCACTAGTCATGAGCAAAAAAACCTCAAGGACAGAGCCTAGGCCCGGAGTTCAAGGCCCAGGAAGACTGGCACCAAAAACAAAAAAGTTCACAAATCAAGGCAGGAACAAATTGGGAGATCACAGCACCTTACCATGAGACAAACCTCTTTGCTGGAAGGCATGTTTATAAGAGTCTCTTTTAAATGTAAATTTAAAGGTTTTATAATGTTGTATTGTTAGGAGTACAGTTCAGTGAGTTTGGAAAAATGCACAAACACACACACACATACACACAAACACACTCCTACCAAGACGGATGGCCATTTCCATCTCTCCAGAAAATTCTCCCATGTTCTTTCCCAGTCAACCTCCCCATCCTTGAGGGCAAGCCTCTGAGGGGGATTTTGAGTTCTTATGACTAGTATCGGCATCTCCTGGAGATGGCACAATACATAAACATCCTTAGGAAGTGATGTTGTATCATGAGAAAAGGTCATCTTATAAAAAGGGAGTGATAACACAGCATCCCCCAAGGGCCTTGAAAATCCAGTGAGGGATGAGCTAGTCACAACCACTTCAACCCCTCTTAGAGTTGACTTTCAAGAGCTTCCTGTATGCAACTTGCCCTCAGGAGAAAAATCAACATGACCAGAAGCATGTTCCAAATCTTGTCTTTTACCTGGTCAGCTTCTGAGTCTGAGGGGACCACCAGCACCACGTCACCCCTTTGCAGGTTAAGCTCATCAGAGTTTGCTGCCTCGAAATCATGCAGGGTTTCCACCTGCAAGATTTTAAAGGAACAGGTTAACTTTGGAAAGAAAAGATGTTAAAAGAAATCATAGTTGCCTTGTCAAAAAAGACATTCTTAGAAGAATTTTCCAAGGGGCACAGAAAGATGAATATCTACATTGCACCTGCTCTGGAAGGTTTTGTCAGTGGGCTGTCCCTCAAAGGCTCATATGTTGATGACTTGGTCCCCATTGTGGCGATGTGAGAGGTGGATTCTACCAGGAGGGCCTTAGGGGTGCTGCCTTCAGAAGGGATTAATGCAGTCCCGAGAAGACCTTGGTTAGACTCTGCTGAGCCCTGCCCTACACTCTGGCTTCTTGTTTAGAATGTGATGGGTTCTTGTTGCATGATACCTTGTGTCATGTGATACAGGAAGGGCCCTTTCCTGAGCTTAGCCAGTGCCTGCACTGAGCTCTGAGCATCTGGACCTGTGAGCTACATAAACCTTTTTACTTGATAAAGTATCCCACCTTAGGTATTCATTATAATAACAGGAAACAGACTTGTACATGCTTCAAGGACAAAGAGGGCTTCTAGAGATAAAAATAAAGTGAATACTATTCTCTGTTTATTTCAAAACCTTGATTCTTACTAACTCTTATAAGGCTATTTGAATAAATATTTATTAGTGCAATGTAGTCAATGTAGAGTTAAGTTCTAATTTATTAAATTCTAATTCATCATTTGCATTTAGAGATATTGACACTTTATTACTATTTATCACTGAAACTTGAACTAAAAAAATGCCTAGCTGGAAGTTGTTTTAATCCAGCTTTGTCCAAATAACCAAATATCAGGAAATCTATCACTTTCATCTTACATGAGAATTAGTACCAAACTGTGGGATCACTTTCCGTGTATATACACTTTATCTTGTCCCTATCCTACCTCTGTGGCAATCTTTTATTTCCTTCTTAAAAAAAAATTCTTTAAGCTGCATACCAGTGTAATCTTTGCTTCCTGGGAGGATGCGATTGTGGTTCAAGGCCAGCTCAGGGTGAAATGTTCAAGAGACTCCTTCTCAAGCCATAGCTGGGCACAGTGGTATATGCCTGTCATCCCAAGCCGTGTGGAAGGCTGAGATGGGAAGGATTATAGTGCTAGGCCTGTCCAGGCAGGAAAATCCATGTGACTCCATCTTCACACAGAGAAGCTGGGTGGAGGGCATATACTTGTGATTTCATCAATGACAGGAAGCTTAAAGTGGGTGCTCCATGGCTCAGGCACATGCCTGCATTGGAAAGGAGGTCCTAGCTCAAAATTATTAAGTGTAAAACAGGCTACAGGCGTGGCTCCAGTGGTAGAGTGCCAGTCTAGCAAGCATGAAGCCTTGAGTTCAAAATCTCTAATACCATCCAAAAAAAAAATCTCTAAAATTTTATTACAAATAAAAGCAGAAAGAATAACACAATGGCCAGCCACAAACCTATCTCCCAACTTGAATATATAGTCCTGGCCAGTTTTGCCTCTCTGATTGTTGGTTTCAGTCCCTCAGAGATTAAGCAACGCTTTTAAAAGGTGGTCTGTTGCATACAGAATCACAAAGTGTCAGAACTGGAGAGGACTGCCATCCCCCAATTGTCTTCTCTAATGAGGAGACTGATGCCCAGAGACATGGGTTAAGCTATAGGACTGAGTCACATTGGAGCAGTGAGGAAGACCTCAAGTCCAGGCCTCGCGAAGCACAACCGATGAAAGGAAAACAGCCACACACAGCCTCTTAATATGTTCAACTTTTCTCCAATTCAATTCATTTACAACGCGACCACATGCTCACCCTTGGTTTGAAGTTACCAAGGTAGCTGTTACTTTGTATAAGATAGAGAAGGGAAGAGGAGGAGAAAATCGGAGGGGAGAAGCCAGAAGGGAAGAGGCAAAAGGGAAGAGAAAGAGAAGGGAGAGGACAATAAGATTGTCACTGTTAAATCCCAGCCCCATGAACGCGCTCAGATTTTTTAAAAAATGTTGCCAAGTGTGAGGCAGATGAAGTTTTAAATATAAATCAAATTACAGAATTGAACATCCCTAACTAGAACCCATAAGGGAACATTACCTGCCTTCAATCTTAGCTAATGCCAGGGTTCTGGTCGTTAGTTGTTATTTTGGTAAGGACACCGGTTTATAAAGGTTCTAAGTATCCCTTCTGGGAATAACATTCTTCTTCGGTGACTGCAGGCTTGTTTGTGTCTTCCTTTTCATAGAAGCCTAAAATCTGTCTTGATTAATTAACTCATTCAATGTATGGCTCTTGCTCTGCTTGTTTTTGGAATATTCCTAGGACTGGTGATTCCTGCTTCCTCTCTGACGTTGCATGGGGGTCTGAGCCAGGCTTGGGGGTCTTTGGAGAATTCACAGGGCGGTTGGAGGGAGTTAACCCACTTCTTACCTAGGGGCACACCTGGTGCCCCCCTTTAGTTCTTTGTTAAAATAAGGAAGGTACTTTTGTATTGCTTGCTGGCTCACAGCAAGGAAATCCTTCTGTTTTCCAAATTGAATTAGGGATGACAGGGAAGTAGTAGGAAGAGAAGATATATATGGTGCAAAGACGAAAAGTAAAATACTAGCAAATCAAAGGTTGCAGCAAGCTGGATGCTGGTGGCTCACACCTATAATCCTAGCTACTCAGGAGGCTGAGATCTGAGGATCGTGGTTCAAAGCCAGACCGGGCAGGAAAAGTCCATGATATTCTTACCTCCAAAAAACCACCAGAAAACCAAATGTGGAGCTGTAGCTCCAAATGGTAGAGCACTAGCCTCCTTGAGCAAAAAGAGCTCAGGGACAGAGCTCAGGCCAAGTTCAAGCTCCACAACATACACACACACACAGACACACACAGACACACACACACACACACACACACACACACACACACACACACACACACACACACACACACACACACACTTGAAGAAAATCGGACTCAAAGTAAGAAAAGACAAATGACCAGGATGTCACAGTACAGAGACCTTGTAGAGAAAGCCGGGTGGCCGATCCAGGGAGGCCTCTCCTCCGGAGGGGAGCTGATCAAGAGGGGCAGCCTGGGTGTCCTCTGGGGGCTCCTGCTCCCTGGCCAGCTCTGGAGACTCCCCCGTGGGAGTCTTGGGAGCCACCTCTGCCGTGGCCTCCTTGGGTTCTGTACCCATGGCCGCTTCGTGCTCTCCTTCTCCTTCATGGTTGGAGGCGGGCTCAATGACTACTGAAGGAATGACCTTCTCCTAGAGAAAGAAGAAGGCAGTGATGTCCAGCAGGGGTGCCTCTTCCAGAACTTGCCTCTACACCCCCCTCTACCCCAATCATTGTTCCCCAAATCCTACAGCTTCTCAGATGCTGGGTTGGCACCATGCAGTGGATGGCTCACCAACTCTCTGTCTCTACATTCTTCCTGTCTCCAAGTACCAAACCCTTAGTGGGATTCATGTTGGGGGCCTTTGGCAGTCACTCTGATTTCTGAGGACAGTGGGGAGGCGTGGATGCTGAAGGGGATACAAAGGGATCGCCAGGAGTCAGAGAGACCATGCCAAAATGGAAATCCAAGGGAGGGCTCCACATTGGCCCGTATGATCTTTGCAGCCTTCCAGTCCCCAGTCATGGAATGTGTGATTTATGGCTTTGGAGTGCTGGATGGAGGCAGTGGCAGCAGGGGGCATTTTGCTCCAGCTCCATGCATGACCTCATTGCACACCTTCCCTGTCCAGAGTGGAACCCTGGGCACTGGTCCTTGCTGGAGGAAGCCTGGTGGCAGAGGTCACAAAACAATGAGGACAGTATTAGGAGGTCATTAGTAATGCTGATTTCTCATCACGTGCCTGGCCCTGGTCTAAGGTTTATGGGTATTTTCTCCCTCAACCCTGTCATGGTATTTGTCTTCTCCTCCCTCCATTTTCATCTCTTTCAACTCTGCTTATTCCCTGGCTTCCTCTTCTACTTTCTGTGCTTCAACTGCATCAACCATGGGAACTAGGAATCATGTGGAACAGCATGGTGTTGATATGAAATGAGTGCTAGGACCACTCTGAATGGAGTAATGAATTTACATATATATATTACATGTTAAATTACATACTATGATCTATATCATATATACTTATATGCATATGATATATATTTAGATGATATATGTTTAATATAGATATTATATAATCATATAATATACAATAGATACATACTATATAATATATAATTACCTCATATAATTATGTTATATATAATGTATTATATATATGTATATATACATGCACGTATATATAATGTACTATATAATATATAATTACATGGCATTATATATTATATATAACCTCATGATATATTATATATAATGATTATGTAAAACCTAGATTATAATCTAACCACACACATATATGATAGGGAGACACAAAATGGCTATAAACTTGCAAGCTACCCCTCTCAACCTGCAGACAGCTTATTCCAGCCCTCCATCTCCCCAGGATTTCTGCGGGGGGACACTCACCTGAGTGTCTGCTGCTTCCGTCTCTGCAGATGGAGGTCGATCACTGTCTAAGAACTCGGTGGTTTCTGCCTCGGTTTTAGTTTCCTCTAAACTTCCTCCTTCCCCGGTGGGAAGGGCTGCCCTCTCTGCCTCCGTGTCCTCCACCAGAGCCCCCTCGGTGGGCACTGTGGGTCCCACAGCCTCTGCAGCATCCGCTCCAGGCTGGATCTGTAGAGAAGACACCAAACAAGCCAAGTCTGTGACTCTAGGCCCCAAGTCTCCCACCAACCTCATCAGATCACAACGCTGGCTCGTCATGGGCTTAGCCCCAGGCCTCAGGTCAGGGACAGCTGACATCAGAACTCTTCACCCTGAGCTCCCAGCAATTCTTTTTATTGCTCAGTTTTCCCAGCAGGCAGGGGTAGCAAACGAATGTGAACAGAAATGACAGATTCTGTTCCTGAGCTGCTACTGTTAAGACATGCCTGGTTTCCCTCCACAAGGAATGGCCATTCTTGTTGGGTGAAGTCAGATGACAATGAATGCAGCCTCAGGACACAGCCAAGTTGGAAGGGGACTGAGCCTGGGGCCTAGCGTATGGGGTCTGGAGGAAGCCCCACCAGTAGGATATCCTCACTATGCAACGCCACTAAGCAATTATTTCCTCATCTTTGTGAGGAAGCTCCCAGAAGCTTAATCGCTTTCAGGAAAGAAAAAAGGGGATAGCTTTCTGAATGAGAACTCTTCCAAATGAAGGAAAGGGAATACAAAAATCAAACACATACTATAAAATTCTAAATATCTGTAGGCAAAGGCAGCCTAGGAAATGCCAACCAGATTTCACATCTTTACTGAGAGAAGCATGATAGAAAAAGGGGAGTTTGAGCAGTATTCAGAACCTGCTATAATAAAATAAAATGAACTCAATGAAAAATGTAAGTTTTGGCTAATCGATTGGAATCCAACTCCTTAATAGCATTCTAAAAACACTGGCTTGGCAGGCCTGACATGAGCGATTCAAACTAGGCAGACAGGATACAAAGAATATTTGATTTATCTTGTTTAATACGCCCAGGATATGGATTCCAAAAGCTGACCTTGTTTTCTGACGTGCTTAGCAGTAGCTATTCTTTTTCTTTACTGAACAACTTCTAGCCAGTCCGTTCTATTAGGTTAGCCACATCCTAATCTTTTCTTTTCAGTCTTTTTAAATTTTTTTATATCATCTTTAAGTAGTTGTAAGAAGGATTTGGCACTTAACAAAGCAGTTTATGAACACAATGCATGTTGATCAATGTCGCCCTTTTCAATATTCTCACTCACCCCTCCCCTACCTCTCCCTTCCCTTACTCCTCTTAATTTTGTAGAACATGTATTGAGTGCTTGCCAAGTCCTAATCTTGAAAATACTAATTCTCCAACTGAATACTGACATGAACACATGGCACATGGGCATCAGAAATGGGAGATCAGCTACTTGGGAGACAGAGATTAGGAGGATTGAGATTTGAGGCCAGCATTGGCAAAAAGTTCATTAGGCCCCCATCTCAATCAGTAGCTGAACATGACAGCAAGGATCAGCCATCTCAGCTATGTGTGAAGCATAAATAGGGATTGCAGTTCCAGATGTCTGGGACAAAAAGTGAGATACTAGCTTGAAAATGACCAGAGCAAAAACAGGCTGAGGTGTGGCTCAGAGGTCAGGCACTTACCTAGCAAACACATAGCCATTCTGGTTCTTCATAGAACATATGCAATGATCCAAAATATAACCACTACAATAAAGTCCTGTTTATCTTTGTCTACTTAGTAATTAAGGTATATGAATTGATGCATTGTAACAGGTACTTGTTGATAAACATTCATAATTATAGCAGGGTAACAACTATGTGGGGATTTTTATCTTGGTGAATGACTGAAAATTCTCACAATAAAAAGTTGTCAGCAATCTTCACTACCTGGGAGACTGAAATTAGGAGGATTGTGGTTCAAGGCCAGCCTAGATAGAAGTGTTTGTGAGATCTTCTTGTTAACACCTAGCTGGGTGCAGTAGCAAGTGCCTGTCATCTTAAACTATATGGAGGTTCAGATTGAGAGGATAACAGTTCCAAGACAGCCCAGCCTACAACATCCTTGAGACTCAGTAGATTGTGCCTGTAATTTCAGCAAGTACAGGTAGCCTAGACTGGTTGGTCATGGCTCAAGCATGAATCTAGTTGGGGAGGAGACCCTAACCTAAATTAGGAGGTAAAAACTAGACTGGAGGAGTGGGACTAAGTGCTAGAACACCAAGCTTGAAAGTGTGAGGCTCTGAGTTCAAATGCAGTACTGGCAAAAATACTTAAGAAAATTGCATTCCTTTCAAAATAAATTAATATTAGGAAGTGTTATAAAAATGAAGGGAGAAGGGCAGGCAAATACAATATTATATCAAATGTACTTTGTATAAAAGTTGAACTGTTTAACTTGAACGTAGAGATAGGAGGGGGAGAATAGAGGAGAGTAATAATGAAAGGAGTAACACTGACCAAGACACATTGTACTCATAGCCAGAGGTCTGGGGTTGAAACCACTCTGTACAACTACAAAATATAAATGAATAAAGGTTTTAAAAAATAAATACAGATCTTGGATGGATGTTACTGTCCCTGTTGTTAGGAGAGGAATGATGAGAACATAAATGAAGCAGGCATCTTAATTCCAAGAAAAAGAATGACCAGCTGCTCCTATATTAACTGGAGAAATCTCAGGCTTACACCAGGCACTGAAGACATTTGCAATGTTTCTTCCATGTTAAGAATACATATAAAAGGGGTGACGCTGTCCAAAAATAAATATATGCTTTACCTGACTTATGCAACTGTGTATATTGCCTTTATAATTACAATTAAAAAAAGCATATATGTTAAAATGTTCATACTCATAGCAGTTTGTATATGTGTGTGTGTGTGTGTGTGTGTGTGTGTGTGTATATATATATATAGAGAGAGAGCAGTGTGCGTGCAATGGATTGGTATAGGCTCAAATGCAGAAGGCAAGTCAGTGGTCATAATTCTGAGTTACTTTGGGATTCCATCTGCCTCGAAAATCACATCTATGAATATCCACTGGCTTCAACAGCTTAGGATCAAACAGTATGTGTAACCACAACAAATATGCCACTCCACACAACACGCACGTGCACACACACAAAACACACATAGCTATGCACACAGGTATGCACGTGCACAGACATGCACACATGCATTTATGCATATACTGCTGCAGACCACGAAGCAAATGCAGCTATGTCACTCCTGTGTATACACTGATCAATCTATAGCTACATTTTCCAAGTACCATACATGATTAGTAGCTGGATTTTCCTCTTTTTTTTTTTTTTGGTTGGTCATGGGGCCTGAACTCTGGGCCTGGGTGCTGTCCCTCAGCTCTTCAGCTGAAGGCTAGCACTCTACCACTTGAGGGTCAGCCCCACTTCCGGCTTTTTCTGCTTATGTGGTGGTGAGGAATCGAACCCAGGGCCTCACACATGCAAGGCAAGCTCTCTACCACTAAGCCACCTTCCCAGCCCCATGGATTTTCCTCTTAACAGAACCAATACCAATCTTAGGAACAGGGCCTTCTTCTGTGGTGGATTAGTGGTATTGTAAAGGGTAATTTTTTTGTGTATTTTTTGTGTCAGTCCCAGGGCTTGAACTAAGGGCCTGGGCACTCTCCCTGAGGTTTTTGGCTCAAGATTAGCACTCTACCGTTTGAGCCACAGCTCTACTTCTGGCTTTTTGGTGATTAATTGTAGATAAGGGTCTCAATGGACTTTCTTGCCTGGACAGGTTTCAAACTTGTGATCCTCAGATCTCAACTTCCTGATAGCTAGGATTACAGGTGTGAGTTGTTGTAAAGGATGATTTTAAAAATATGTTCCACAGAGAGTGTTAATCACTGGCTTCAGAGTGCAAGTCTGCCAATCAAGTTGTGTTGGAGTTTCCCCTCAAGGGCTGAACGTGTTATTGCCATTCTTATGCTAAATAATTAAGGAGGCCTTGTTGTCTGCTGACAGCAAAGCAGATGTGAGAACAGAGACCAGTGGGAGACAGACCAGGGTGCTCTCTCTCTCTGACTGATCTGAAGATGCCAGACCTGAGTGACACCAACGCTCAGTCCCAGCATCCCAGAAATTCACCTGAAGGAGCACCTCCAGAAGTGTTGATAAGAATGTGCAAATAGAAGTCACTAGAATACTGACATCAACAATTCTTGCAAAGACAAGAGGCATGGAACTGGCATTTGGATTTATAGAAGAAAACACAAATACAAACAACTTGCGACCTACTTAGAAAAGTGAAGGGAAATGGCACACTCCTCTATTCTTTTCTGGGCCTACTGCTAATGAATTCTGTTTCTCTAGCTGATGCTTAATTAACGTTCTGATTTTACAGCTTAGAAACAGTACATAACAGAAGGATGAGCCCCAGGCTGCATTTCCTCCAAGCATCTGGCTCTAACACTGGCCTGATTTTAAGGAATGCTTTTGTCCTTCTTTTCTATCTATGATCTCTTTTATGATTTTTGCTTTTACCAAAAGTTTTCCAATGCACTAAAGGTCACTAACTGCCATAGAACCACAGAAAACATCCATGGAAAACTGGAAACCAGTTTCTTAAATTTCAGCTACTTGGGAGGCAGAAAGGTGAGGAGTAGGGTACAAGGCCATACTAGGGAACAGCACAAGACCTTGTCTGAAAATAAACTGAAAGCAAGAAGGATTTAGGGGTGGCTCAAATCTTAAGAGCATTTACTGTGCAAGTATAAAGTCCCGAGTTCAATCCTTACCACTCTATGCACACACACACACAAACACATGCAAACACATATGCATGTACACATATGTGTACATACCACCAGGACCATTTATGTGGATACATAATCATACATTTATTTTATTGTTTTTTTGCAAGTGTCCCTGTACTTTCTTTTATTATCACCATAGTCTGCATCAAGATACATAGCAATGATAGCAGGTTCCTGTTAAAGCTTAGTATTAAATATTAAATATCTCTCCTCAGTTTAAGTTTATATTACTTTGGCAAGAAAAACAAAACAAAACTAAGACTCAAATTATCTGAAGCCTGGACACATTCTTATGATTAGCCTGGCTACGTAAAAGTTGGTGACTTCATTCTTCCTGTGTAAGCGGCTCTAGGCCCTAGAAAGGTAGGACCAGTTAGAATT